GGCTCCTACCCTGGGGGTCTTTAAGAAGCGGCTCGATGCCTACCTGACTGGGGTCACTTGAGCCCAGTTTCCCTCCTGCCCAGGCAGGGGATCGGACTTGAAGATCTACAAGGTCCCTTCCGACCCTACTTCTATGATTCTATGATGACTGCATCATTGATTCATGGCAGAAATGCAGCAATGCATTCAGCCACTCACTGAAGCCTGACCAAAAGGGTGTTGTGTGTACACGGCAATCCTGGGACTTTTCTGTTCGGGGAAAAACACAGGCACAACTTGCCCCATGACAAATTCAATGCCTGTTCCTAGTCAACAAGCACCTTGATGATGGGGCCCTATATTTACTATGCAAATACAACAAACGTGAGGACAACAGGACGCAATTTAAATAATGATTTTACTAAAATGCAATGAAATTATCCTCTGATAATATATAAAAGAATATGTCCCTTTAAATAATCTGTGATGCATCAAGTGGCTCTCAAGGTTTTGTGCTCTGAATAGCAGCTCTAGCAGTTTTCTGACAGGACATGGAGGTAGCAAGACCCTAAATGTTCCTATTTAATAAGGACAGTTTTTGGGGATGCAACAGTGCTCATGCAATTATTTAGTATTGTCTTTCTTCTGAAAAAGCAAATGACATAAGGGTTTTTTCAAGATTTTCGGACAGATTTGGAGGTGAAATTCAAATATTAGAAGTGTGGAACGGAGGAATTTTAGTCCTGCTTTACATGCAAATCTCAAGAACACATTAACTGTGCACTGTCACTACTGTCACTATTGCCATGTCCAGAATATTTTAGAAGGGAGGCACAGAACATGATGGGTCATTTACGAATTAGCAGCTCACAAAGGAAGGCAGCTTCTGTCCTCAAAAGCCAACTTACCTTTCCTTGCCGCTGTCAGACCTGGGGATCCTCTCTTCAGCATGTTTCTTCTTTTCCTTCATAAAGACTTCATCTTCCTCACCTTTGGCCAGCAAAGTAGGAGAAACAGCCTCAGAACCAGTTCCTGGTTTCACATCTTTCCAGGCTTCATTCCAAACCTCCTCAGGCAACGTGACATGCCCTGAGGAGACCATGGATGGAAAAGGGTAGCTTGGTTCTATGGAAAATGGCTTCCTTTCCACACACACAGTTTTTTGTGAGGGTGCGTTAGCCTCTAGGACTGAATGTTTCATGCCCTGCTGCCCTTCTGCTTTCTGCAACCATAAGATCTCCACCCCTCGAAATTCTACATGCTTGCTCACAGCTGCCTCTTTCGATATCCTCCTCTCAGGACCTATTTGCTTTTCACCTGGCTCATATGCTGAAAACTCCTTCTCAAAATCAACCCAACCCTCCCCAAGAATGCCAACAGTGCCTTCTACTCTGCGGTCTGCTTCCAGGTACATCAGGGATGGTCTACCACAGCCGGACTCCTGCACTTCGTGGTCCTCCCCCATTTTATTACTGATAATTTGAAAGGACTCCGACCGCTTTTCTCCTCCCAACACTAAAGCCAAATCGTTCTCTGTGATCAAATATAATTCTTCCTCAGCTGTTACTTCAGACAGAGGAGGCATGTCTGAGGGTTTTTCTTGGACTGCTGAAACCAGTTCTCTGGCTGTCTGTAAGTTTTGGCTGCCAATATTCCTTTCTTTTTCCATTTGTCTCTCTGAACCAAGAGTAGTTTTCACTCCCTTTGGTTCCTTTGCAGTTTCCAGCCCTTGAAAACTTCTCATCATTTCAGTCTGCGTCTCATCAGGTTGCAAAGTTTCTTCTTCAGAGGACTGCTGCAATGTCTCAATGCAAGATCTTGACTCATCTTCGTAAGTGCCACTCTTGGGACAAGATTTGCAAGGCAATGTTTCCCCTTCCCACCTCCCTGGACTGCACGTTACAGCCTCTGCCTGAAGCTCACACGAAGACTTCAGTGCTTCCACACCTTGCTGCTCCATTGTCCCATACTCTGGAAATTCATTGATGACGGTCTGTGGGAGCAGAGTGCTACCTCCATGGCCACCTATAAAGAAGAAAGAGAATTTGTTTTGTCTATTTGTGAAATATATTCTCTCCTTTCCCAACTTTCTCATGACAGACTAATGGCCTCTGTTAATCTCCCCCTCACCACACTGCAGAGAAACACTGCTCTGTATAGTTCACTTCTGCATGCTCTTGCACTTTAGTTATTTCAAACCTGGCCTTTCTTACATCTGAGTTTTGGAGCAGCATACTTTGGAAGTTAGGATGGCTAAGTCAG